GCCCCCTAAGAAGAAAACGATCTACATGTATAATGCTGTATCCGAAATAAAATGAGTGAACGAGTATGGTTTTACGCCGCATTTAGCAATATCACGGCGGGGGACACCAGAAATGGGCTTCAAACATTGTACCAATGTGGAGAATAGAACCTGGGCGTTCTTCGTGTCGAGCAAACCCTTTCAACCCATCGCCCCAGTGAAAACATGTACAGACATGTAACACAATGGACAATAGTCTGTTTTCAACGCTAACAATTCCCCCCACTTATAATGGCATTACTTATCCAATTTAAGGAATTTTAGTTATAGCCCGTTTGGCTCAAAATCGGACAGATGAATTGCAATCTAACTCGAAAACTAATGAGCATAAAATACTCAATGAACGCTGAGGTTTTTGCAGAATTTTCGTCTTAAAATAAAAAAGTTGTTTAACAATCTATCATTAAAATATTGACACAGTTCACTATTTGTTACGAGGGAGGAGTGCAGAGAAAGGGACAGCCAGGTGTTCGAGAAGCACGTTCACAGACAGTTATTTATTCATTAACCTGTGCTGTGCCGTCTCCATCCGTTCTCGAACACCTGGCTGTCCCTTTCTCTGCACTCCTCCCTCGTAACAAACAGTGAACTGTGTCAATATTTTAATGATAGTTTGTTAAACAACTTTTTTTATTTTTGGGACAAAAATTCTGCAAATAAGTCACAGAGTGGGTATGATGTTTCGATTATGATCAGCGTTTCATTGAGTATTTTATGTATATTAGTTTTTTGAGTTAGATTGCAATTCATCTGTCCGCTTTTGAGCCAAACGGACTATAAGCGTGTCTAAAATTTAAAAGTATTCTTTGTAGATTGTTAAGATAAGGTCGGTAAAATGTTGCCAAGAGACTTTGATTTGCTTGAGTGAAGAGAGTTAGGAAAACAAGGTGGAGTGTTGTGAGAAATTTGGTGATTTGTGCCATGGAAATCAGACAGTTGGTAGTTGGAAAGAATTATCATGAGACTTAAATTCTATAGAATGAGGTTGAATAAACCAGTAGGACTAAGGGACAACATTGGAAAGGTGACACGCTCAGGTCCACTAAATGAGAGTTCTCATGAGAAGCGGATTGCGGATTGCCATGACTGGGGCACCGCAATACCCTATGCAGTTGGATGCTTTGGGCACACCAGAAACACGTTTGTCTGGGTTTGAATGCCAGCTCACGCTCTTTATGTGACAAGGTTTGTCAGCACCATTGGCGTGCTTATAGATTTCAGTAAAGTGGTAAGCATCTGAGTCTTGCATCATTTCGGGCTTCGATTTTCTCGATCTTGTTTTGACCTTCGACCGCATCAAGTTGAGCATCTGGGTGCTGTTGCACAAAGCAACATTAGCGCTACGACAGTCGTAAGTCTATGTTAAGGTATGAGAGTTACGATCATCTTAGCGCTACGCCTTTCGTAAGTCTATGTTAATGTATGAGAGTTACGATCACCTTAGCGCTACGCCAGTCGAAGTCTATGTTAAGTATGAGAGTTACGATCACCTTAGCGCTACGCCAGTCGTAAGTCTATGTTAAGGTATGAGAGTTACGATCACCTTAGCGCTACGCCAGTCGTAAGTCTATGTTTATGTATGACAGTTACGATCACCTTAGCGCATGGGAGTTACGATCACCTTAGCGCTACGTCAGTCGTAAGTCTATGTTAAGGTATGAGATTTACGATCACCTTAGCGCTACGCCAGTCGTAAGTCTATGTTAATGTATGAGAGTTACGATCACCTTAGCGCTACGTCAGTCGTAAGTCTATGTTAATGTATGAGAGTTACGATCACCTTAGCGCATGGGAGTTACGATCACCTTAGCGCTACGTAAGTCGTAAGTCTATGTTAAGGTATGGGAGTTACGATCACCTTAGCGCTACGCCTGTCGTAAGTCTATGTTAAGGTATGGGAGTTACGATCACCTTAGCGCTACGTCAGTCGTAAGTCTATGTTAATGTATGAGAGTTACGATCACCTTAACGCTACGCCAGTCGTAAGTCTATGTTAAGGTATGGGAGTTACGATCACCTTAGCGCATGGGAGTTACGATCACCTTAGCGCTACGCCTGTCGTAAGTCTATGTTAAGGTATGAGAGTTACGATCACCTTAACGCTACGCCAGTCGTAAGTCTATGTTAAGGTATGAGAGTTACGATCACCTTAGCGCTACGCCAGTCGTAAGTCTATGTTAAGGTATGAGAGTTACGATCACCTTAGCGCTACGCCTGTCGTAAGTCTATGTTAAGGTATGAGAGTTACGATCACCTAAGCGCTACGCCAGTCGTAAGTCTATGTTAAGGTATAGGAGTTACGATCACCTTAGCGCTACGCCTGTCGTAAGTCTATGTTAAGGTATGGGAGTTACGATCACCTTAGCGCTACGCCAGTCGTAAGTCTATGTTAAGGTATGAGAGTTACGATCACCTTAGCGCTACGCCTGTCGTAAGTCTATGTTAAGGTATGGGAGTTACGATCACCTTAGCGATCAGTCGTAAGTCTACGATAGCGCTACGCCAGTCGTAAGTCTATGTTAAGGTATGAGAGTTACGATCACCTTAGCGCTACGTTACCTGTCGTAAGTCTATGTCGATGTTACGTATAAGTCTATGTTAAGGTATGGGAGTTACGATCACCTTAGCGCTACGCCAGTCGTAAGTCTATGTTAAGGTATGAGAGTTACGATCACCTTAGCGCTACGCCAGTCGTAAGTCTATGTTAAGGTATGAGAGTTACGATCACCTTACGATCACCTTAGCGCTACGCCAGTCGTAAGTCTATGTTAAGGTATGAGAGTTACGATCACCTTAACGCTACGCCTGTCGTAAGTCGATCATGTTAAGGTATAAGTCTATGTTAAGGGAGTTACGATCACCTTAGCGCTACGCCTTTCGTAAGTCTATGTTAAGGTATGAGAGTTACGATCACCTTAAGCGCTACGCCTGTCGTAAGTCTATGTTAAGGTATGAGAGTTAAGATCACCTTAACGCTACGCCTGTCGTAAGTCTATGTTAAGGTATGAGAGTTACGATCACCTTAGCGCTACGCCAGTCGTAAGTCTATGTTAAAGTATGAGAGTTACGATCACCTTAACGCTACGCCTGTCGTAAGTCTATGTTAAGGTATAAGGTATGGGAGTTACGATCACCTTAGCGCTACGTCAGTCGTAAGTCTATGTTAATGTATGAGAGTTACGATCACCTTAACGCTACGACTATCGTAAAACTATGTTAAGGTATGGGAGTTACGATCACCTTAGCGCTACGACTATCGTAAATCTATGTTAAGGTATGGGAGTTACGATCACCTTAGCGCTACGTCAGTCGTAAGTCTATGTTAAGGTATGAGAGTTACGATCACCTTAGCGCTACGCCAGTCGTAAGTCTATGTTAAGGTATGGGAGTTACGATCACCTTAGCGCATGGGAGTTACGATCACCTTAGCGCTACGCCTGTCGTAAGTCTATGTTAATGTATGAGAGTTACGATCACCTTAACGCTACGACTATCGTAAAACTATGTTAAGGTATGGGAGTTACGATCACCTTAGCGCTACGACTTTCGTAAATCTATGTTAAGGTATGGGAGTTACGATGGACTATTATCAGAGCCAGATGAGACAGGTGGTGTAATAGGGTGTGTGGAGATGTGCTGTGTTGTAGCAGGATTCTTCCTTTCTTCCACTAGAGGATGTCATCTGAATGGGACTTGAAAGAGCTAGTCTAACGCTTAGTCTATGGGTATATATACTTTTGATAGGGACAGCTGTATGTGCGCAGATTGATCCTGGAACCATACCTTAGCAGTGCCGACAAAGAGGCAGAACAGAATTCTACGGGATTTAAGTTGTAGTCCGTGCGACCATGGAGGATACTGAAATCAGATTGTAGAAATCTGCCCATCAACTTTCATCTTCCTTGTTGCAAAAAGCGACTTCTGGGTTATCAGACTTGCTTACTTGGTTGATACATATCCTCGTTTCCCGATCGATGTTCATGATGACAATCACTGGGTTATCTGGTCTAGAGTCGATCGTTTACATACCCACGCCATAACTATTTTAAACTAATAGTGTTACTATAGAGTAATAGGATTCCTCCAGTAGTTCATCATCTCATTAATTGCATGAATAATGAATAAGAAATAACTATTTTTAGGAATACTGAATTCCCATTGTACTTGTACTGGATTAGAGATTTTAGGTCTTTCCTGCTTTAAGAGGTGAATATAACTTTGGAAATATGTAATAATTGACATGGTTTTGAATGAAAGCATGACGTCGAGACCGGTCTTTAGCAACCCGTGCGTGTCACATTATGCGACTAACAAGGCCGGATGATTTATGTTATTTTTATCAATCCCTGGATTGTCTGGTACAGACTGAATGACAGATGCTGACAAGCATAAAACCATATGTTCGCACTTGTCCATGATCATCACCATCGGTTTGTCCACGATCATCACCATCGGTTTGTCCGTAAGCTTCACCATCAGTTTGTCTGTGATCTAAGTCATCAGTTTGTCTGTGATCTAAGTCATCAGTTTGTCTGTGATTTAAGTAATTATAATCGATAATGTTGGTCCGTGATCCCAGTCGTCTGTTCATCCATCACCCTGTGTTCGTCTGCGATGTTTAGTGTTACTATCTACTAATCACTTTGGTCTGACCACTGTTTGTCGCCTGCAATCCATGTCGTCAACACTTTGTCGAATGTTCGTCTCTGATCTCTTGTCGATGTTTCATCCATATTTATATTTTGACGTCTGCTGCTGGCTATTCTTCCATCCTCACGCCTCCCACAGCTGATGCCCGTATGTGAACCACAGCACACGCCCAAGTATGGATTAAAGCAACAGTGTTGCCTGTTGCAGAATCCCGCTGGGTGACGTCACGCGGGTTATTTGTCCGCGCGATTACAGTACCAGTAGAACTATAGACCGCCATCTGTTCAGCCGATAGTTGTCGTCTGCTCGAACTAACTCGACATTAACGTTCTTAATGAGCTCTCCAAGGAGCACACAGGATTTCACGTGGTCGTACTTCACTTTCAGATGAAACGTCACTAGGGATCGAGTTGGAATGACCTCTGCTCGCAAGTGATGGAACTGGAATGGATTTATCGGAGAAGATAAGGTCAGCTGTCTACCTGCGACATATCGACTGAATACACCACTCCACCCCAGGCTGCCATGGATGGAATATGATTGCGGGAGCATTGTTTACTGCATAAACGTTCAACGTGTTTGTGACATTTGATACCAGGCTGGAATTTGGGATTATATGTGAACCCGGGACCGTTTATTTTCCAATTTACTCGACAAAGTCAACAGGAATGCCCTGGGATTGGATTAACAACGGTCGTTAAATCACGCAAAGCCTGCAGGTTAGTTTTCATAGCAAATGTTCTATAGGGAGACTAGGACGATTCTCTGGCGGGAGCTTAAGCTTATTAGTAATTAGACGATGGACTTAAGCATCGGTGTATATTCGGCCAATGAGATGCTAGTGGTCAGATAACACACATACCGTGGGCACCAAGAGGTCAACGCTTCTGATAAAGACGGTAGGTGTTCGGTCCATCGGAGATTATCGCCAAAAAGGTTATGAGCGTTTTGTTTGTGAATTTGGGAGAGAATCAGTAGGGATGTGTGCAAGTGTGGGTATGTGAGTTCAGTTTTACGCCGCTTTTAGCAATATTCCAGCAATATCACGGCGAGGGACACCAGAAATTGGCTTCACACATTGTACCCATGTGGGAAATCGTACCCGGGTCGTCGGCGTGACGAGCAAACGCTTAACCTGAAGTTAACCACTTAGGCTACCTCACCGCCCCGTAAGAGTGGGGAGCATAATACTGAGTGAGTGAGTGAGTGAGTTGGCGGAAGGGGAACGTTAGTGTGTTAATGAGTGAGGGTGTTACTGACATTGAGTGAGGGATGGACAGTCTGTGAGTGTGATGTGTGAGGGAGCAAGCCCCAGTATAGGGGGGAGGTTAAGTAATGATTATGTTATGTGTGAGGGACAATAAGTATAGCTGTGTGACCATTTAGACTGAATGTTAATACGCCACTTTGGGTCCACACCAAGACCAACTGAACACGGAGCGCGCTTCGCACATAGAACACGAGTCAAACATTGGACACCCAGAACACATATTTGCTCGGGTGAAAGTGACTTCACCTCTAAGCCACCATTGCGAAATGAATTTCTCGTTTTTGTCGAGCAACTGTTGTAACTTCAATACGTTTACCACTTCCAGTGTTGTTACGACGTTTTGGTAACCAAAAAAAGTGTGTTGTGTTATTGCATACGGCCATCCTAGTTTAATAATCACAAAATAACATGCTTGCAACAACGATTGCAATGCCCACGAAATAAGAAACACGTTATACTATACTAACCTGTATTTCGGTATATATTCATCTTTCATGTTCTAATATTTTTTCGAGTAGACAGCTAACTCTCAGTCCGACAGTCTGCCATTCCACACGTTATGACGTCTTATTGCGATCCGGATATACTTATATACATATTTACTTGTCCTACATAACCCAGGCAGCATGCAGAAGGTATACACTAAACGTCAAAAGAAACGTTACCCTCCTTCCTTAATGACGGAGGTACCTATCTTCAGCTGGCGTTGTGATGCGTGGACGTCCACTTCTTGGTCTGTCTACGGTGACCCCAGTCTGTCTGAAGCCCAGACCGTGATACGGTGGCATCCGCAGGCGTTGGCAACAACATTGGATGTCGACCCCATCTGCACCATCCCAATGGCTCTTTCTCTCTCTTCAGCTGTTAATCGTGGCATATTTCTCGTACTTGTGTATCATATCATGTATTCTAGGCTTTCTTTATACCGTATAGAATCATTCTACATGTGAAATGGATGCAAATACTGCTTGAATATTGCTGCGTTTTGGCGATTGATATTGCTATGTGTAAACAGAAAATGGAAAAAATGTTACTTTGCAAGCAAAAATGTTAACAAAAATAATTTTAGGTGTTCCTAAACATTTTTTCACAATATCATAGACACGTGTCACTTGTTTTCACGAAAGCAAATCAGCAGAAAATGTTTCAAAAGACTGAAATCATAGGAATGATTATTTTACAATTCACTAGGGGGTGTTACGATTCACTCTCACTTCGATTCGATACGATAATCGATTCAGTTCGTTCGATTCGATTAATTTCGATTCGATTCCCCAAAGCTGAGGACAAAGTCAAATTTGTTGTAATATCAGTTTAATTTGGCAAACTTTGGAAAAAATGGCACAATGCACAATTAGAACACTGTCAACAAATACTCACTGAACAAGTGATCATGAAATTAAGTTTCAGTCACGAACTCTGGTGTCAAGTGTTCATTGTGACTGTAATGTCACTGTAAGTCATTTGGAATGATCATGTTCTGTGCAAGGAATTTTCACTTGAAAGACATGCCCTCTGGGCACTTACAATGTCTCCGGCAGTGGAGAATACCCTCTCACTGGCCACACTTGTAGCATCGAATTTTCAACATAATTTCTTACGATTTCAGGTGAAATAAACTCTCAGTATTAGAAAGTATGTACTTTTTGAATCGAATCGAAATGGATGCATTTGAAATCGAGATCGAATCGTACATCTATCGATTCGATTTTCGTTGAACCGAACCGAATCGTGACACCCCTACAATTTACACACTCTACAACAGTTGTTTCTTGTTTTAATAGTTGAAAAAGGTGACTTGAAATGGTTTATCTTTGTCCCTAAGCAGAATTTTATTTCAACCTTTCTTTTGGACATCTAAATCACTGTTATTTGTTTATTTCGGCATGGACGAAAATATGACAATTTAACTCTTCTCAAAAAGATACATTTCACCTAAATATGAATGCATTTGAGAATTTTGTTTCGTGATTTGCATAAAGCTGTGTTGTTAAGCTTTCTTGTAAACTAATACCTTCTAAAATATCTTTGATAGTTTTTAAGTAATTCATAAAGGAAGGAGGGTAACGTTTCTTTTGCCGTTTAGTGTATATAAAACGGAAATTGTCCCCTGCTGAAGCGAAATATGAGTCACGATCCTTTTTGAAAACATTTTATAATTGGCGAATAGATTTTTTTCTCAGTTTTACATCAAGTCCTTAGAAGAAGAAGAATAAATTGGAAACGTCAATGGTAGAGAAATCTTTATCTTAATTATCCACTGATTGCACAGGACTTCAAAGGTAAAATAGCTGTCAAAATTACATAAACGCTCATTTGAAATCACTGATGATAGCAGGTGCTCGCGAAACAAGGGTGAGCTGTGTCCTGCCCTACTAGTAACGCAACAAGACTGTCAGACAGACAGATATTTTATTTACGCCTCCTAGCTGTAGACAGACAGACAATGATTTTATTAAAGTCTTACTTGTGTATACATTCAGTTGATTGATACATATATAAAATATAATACACAGAGGCTAAAAGTACACAACCAATTACTTAGTGATTCATGAGAGACTAAAAACTACTAAATACATAGATAAATATAGAAATATGAATATATGTACATAATTATGTAAACGCATATAATGCTGCTAACAGGCATAAAAGTAAAACAGTATAATTAGGAATATAAAAGGTGGCGTGTTTCGATAAGATTGCAGGTTCTGGCAGTGTGTAAAACAATATAACAGTCACTAAAAAGTACATAAAACTTTAAAACATCATTAAGGTTTGTAAAAACAGCATATATCTGGGCACTTTTCCTACAAAGTTCAGCTCTCTCCTCTTCGTATATTGGGCATTTGAACAGCGTGTGAGATTCGTCCTCAATTTCGTTGCAGCTGACACATAGTCTTTCTTCTGCTGGTAAGTTCTCATAGCGGCCTGTCTCAATCCTCGGAGGGGCGACACCAAAACAAAACTTCGCAAACTCGCTTTTGTGTGTTTTCGGTATAATATGACTGTGGATAAATCTTGCTTAAAATTCCTGTAGTTTCGCAGCTTGTTTTTTCCGTTCCTTGTTTCTTCATATTGTACATCTTAAAAAGAATACATACATCAGGGGCGGATCCAGGATTTTGGATTACAAGGGGGAAAGCGCAGTAGTTGGAACAGTGAAACAAATGTACGTGATGAGCGTTAAGTTAGACCAACCCTACTTGTTCTCGGTGTTTCGTTTAATGTGCATAGCCCCTTGTAATAAAACCAATAATAGCGATTTGAAACTATGATCGTTTGTTAAACAACTTTTATCCTAAGTTGAATAAAATTCTGAGATTTAAATGTCCAATTGGCAGGTAAAATTATGAGAATTCGCAATCTTAATTTCACTTATTCGATTTACTTTTCTGTTTAAAGTGAAATTCATCGATACGTTTCACTGCAAACAGACTAATATACACTTCAACTCGTTTTAATAAAATGCATTCATTTTTATTTTTACCAGCACTGCAACAATACAATGTATAATGAAATCAATTTAGATACAGAAAAGACAGTCTTTATTGCTCATTCCGGTGAATATTAAAGGTCACATGCAACGTAAAACACAACTTTGCAGATTCTGATACCTTTCGGTATGGACTTACCGAAACAAATCATCAAAAATGCAAATTCAACTTATAAAGTTGAAAAATAACGCGATGAAAAAAACCGCGCGAAATCGTAGTTCAAACGATTCACTAATTTTCCCCCAGCGTTTGGGGGGAATTCAAGTGGTTCCAACAGCTCGGCTGCGCTCATAGCACGTGCGCAGTGAAATAGGTTCGCGCAACTTGGAAGCGGGTTGTCCGGTGAATACTCGGTGAAGGCTTTGGTGTGAGCTATTTTTCTAATGTTTTGTTGATATCTCACAGGCGCGAGCTTTTTATATGTTATGACAGTAAATTAACTGTTTATATAATTTCATTTGTCTATTTCACCACACGTTCTTCTTACCGAGTCACTTTCTCAGTTCGATACTTAAAAGCAATGTCATTATTTAGCGTTGACAGAATTTCTAACTGTGATATAGATATGTCGTTGTCACAGACTCAATGTCTTGTTTTATTGACACCTGTGTGTCTGCCTGCCTGTCTGCTAATGACAATATTTAATACACAACTGCGATCACTGATCACATGCAATTTGAACTTAACACCAATCAGGTTATACACCATAAACAAAATGCATTGATTTATGGCCCGAGTTTGGTCTCTGTCACATTTTGGGGGCGGTGGGGTAGCCTAGTGGTTAAAGCGTTGGCTCGTCACGCCGAAGACTCGGGTTCGATTCCCCACATGGGCACAATGTGTTAAGCTCATTTCTGGTGTCCCCCGCCGTGATATTGCTGGAATATTGCTAAAAGCGGCGTAAAACTAAACTCAGTCAGTCAGTCAGTCAGTCACATTATGTAATTACACAGACAGGCAGGTGTGATACTTGTACACATGACATGTTATGATGTCTGTTGATTGCAAAATGTTATACACAAAAAATGAGCATGTATTTACAAAACCCAATATTTCTATATATACACACACAATGAGCCGTGAGGGCATCTGCAAATGAACCAGCCGTTACACTTGAGTGCACACCCACCCGCTC